CACCTTTACCATGTTTGGTTTATAGAAGTTGCATGTAAAAATACACAATATACTTACAAAAGAAAATATTGAAAAGGCATCCCCTCCAAAGACGATATTTTGCTCAGTTTCCATCTAGTCTTTCTTTTACATATTTACACTTTTCACCCTTGTGACATTACAGAGGGCACTGTGCACCCATTTCCCACCATTCAGTCATCAAATGTTTATTTATTCCTAACATGAGCTAGGCAACACACTAGATGTTTACATTAATATCTACATTATAAACATTGTATATGTGTGGTGTTGCAAGAACAAGTGATAGGTTGATGGACCATGGAGGAACGGGGTGAAGGGGTTGTGAACCGGCTGGAAAGAGCACGGAGAAGAGTATGTGAGCTGAGTTTGGACAAGTGAGAGGTCTTAAGGCCTTGTTACGGATTTTTCTCACTATCTTAGTATCCTTAAGAATATGTTAAAGGGATTCTCACCAAATTGAGGATGTAACCGTGTCTCTTAAGACCATTGTGGCTACCACGTGAAGGCCTACAAGAACGGTTGTGGGCAAACTGCTTTGGGAACCATTTCACCATGAAAGCTAAGGGCACTGTAGCTTGGACTAGAAGGGTAGGGTGGTAGAGACAGTGAGAAATGAATGTTCTAAAATAGTTCCTAAACATTGAACTGAAAAGACCTGGTGATTTTAACTCATTCCTGTCATAAGGGGTTTCTCAGTATAGACCATCTGAGAAAATGTATGCTATCCATGAGAATGTATGTGAACACAATGTCCCTTGATTTTTCAGCACTTGGAATCAAACCCAAGGCCTTCCACCTTGTAGGCAAGTGCTCTTACCACTGACCTACACCTTCAATTCCATGCATGCTCCCTTGTGGAAGGGAAAACAACATATTTCTGAAGACTCCACTGGGTGGGTTCAAATCCCAGCTTTGGGACTTTGCAGCTGTGTGAGCTTGGACAAAATTCTTCACTTCCTTGTGCCTCAGTTTCTTCATCTGGAGGAAAAGCTAGTAGTGCCTACCTCACCTATCAAGATTAACAGGATAGTATCTATCAAGTGTTTCATATGGACCTTTGGGACATGCCCTACTATTATGAATAAAGAGGGAGTCATCATTTCTTTATCAATTTGCCCACAGTTGTCAAGTAAATGTTTACACACACACACACACACACACACACACACACACACACACACACGCACACACGC